CTCATCGGTGAGGCGGGAAGCTGTGGGAATCATGCAGGCAGCTCAACATATGTGCTAGGACTTTAGTGGGAATCTACACATGAGCCTGTAGAAATTGGTAATGCATTACCAGTAAGTGCACTTATATTCACTTAGAACCTCCACTGAAAAGGGTTTCTGAACACCGACAGGGCAAAAAAAAAGGCGCCAAAAACACGTGTGTTATACAGGTGGTTACAGAATAGAAGTGGTTCATTATAGAAAATCAATCGGGATTGTTGCAGGGTGGTTGTTCACAGCAGGTGGTTGCTGAATAGAGGAGGTTACTTTAACAGGTTTGACTGTATTTTCACAGACTTCTTGCAATCCATAAGACCATAAGATGTACGAGCAGGAGTAGGCCATTCGGCCCCTCGAGACTGCCCCGCCATTTAATAAGATCATGGCTGATCTTCTAACCTAATTCCATTTACCCGCCCTATCCCCATATCCCTTAATCCCTCTATCCTTGAGATATCTATCAACCTCAGTCTTGAATATGTTCAGTTCTCAACCTTGTCCTGAACGATAGAGGAATCTTGCGCCAGATATTAAATATCTCCAGACCTTCCAGGCTAGATCCTCTGCCAGGTCTTCCCTGCAGCAAACCAACCTTGGAAGCAGCAGGATCCTGCTTACTTTCCTGATTGTCTGTTTGTGAAATTTCCACGACTGTTTGTGGGACACTGCTGTGTGCAATTGGCTGCCGCGTTCCGCCCACAAATATACGGTCAATTCACTTTGCAGCATATTCTGTGAAGCGCTTTGAGACATCTAGAAGACGTGAAAAGCGCTAAATCAAATGCAAGGATTATTATTATTATTGTTATCCACAGCCTTCTGGGGTAGAGAATTCCACCAAATTCACTACCCTCTGAATGAAGAAATGTTTCTCCAACTCAGTTCGAAAAGCCTGCCCCTTAATCTTCAGATTATGATCCCTAGTTTTATATTCTCCAACCAAGAGAAACAGTCTCACGGCATCTATCCTGTCAAGACCCGTAAGAATCTTATAGGTTTCTTTTGGTCATTTTTATAGGTTCCATCTTTAAATATCTATGTATCTGTACTCCAAGGTCTTGATGCTCTAATAATTCATTAAGAATGTTACTATTTAGGGGATACATCTTTTCTTTGTGCTTGAGCTCAAAATTCGCTACCTTGCAGTTAACAACAACTTGGATTTATATAGCACCCTCCACGCCAGACAGCGTCTCAGAGTGCCTCACAGTCACGGATCCCAGGGCCGAGCCAGGGGCAGGGGGAAGAAGGTGACCAAAGGCACAGTCCTACATTGAACCTATATTGAATTCATTTGCCATTTATGTGCCCACTCCACTAATCTATCTATGTCTTCCTGTTGGACACATTTTTTCAGACAAAAAAAATCCACAACAGCACAGGCCGAGTGCTTTTTGCTATCTCTGTGACTTGTGTAGAATCTTGTGTACATCTGCCAAGATACAATAAGTGTTGATGTAAGCACTTCTTAAAATGTTATCCATTTTGTGGAACACTATGAAGCCCAGAATTTAAAGAAAAGGCAAAATAAGTTGCTTAAAATGGCCTTGACTGTAAGAAGACTAACTGTACAGTACTATCTGCCATCATTTTCCAGAACAGGCAGGTGTGGCAGCAAATTGCTTGAATCAGAATTCTTTGTACTTGAATTTGACGACTGAAATGGTAGTTTCAGATACAGTTTTCTAAAATTATTCACTTTGAACTGACGTAGATGCCAGTTCAATTCATCTCTGTGGTAATGGATTGCAATTACTTGCCATGTACCATAGGTAAAAAATACCCACTGTTTACTGCAGGTAGAAATCTTAGTTTCATCATCGAAATTCGTAATGCAAATGGGGAAGCAGCTGTGGTGCGCGAAATGATTTATTGCATGTCTGTTCAAAGGTTAAAAACTGGGAATATGTAAAAGGTGCTATGCAAATGCTATATATGTTTATTGAGTAACAGTGTTTAACTCGTTACCTTTACTCCACAAGGAGCAGCAGATCTCCTCTTCTGATTCATCCAAGGAATTATCCAGATGAACCAGATGATGGACCTCTCCTCCACACCATTCTTAACACTATGTCTGTGAAGCCAAATGGTTGAACTCATGGATCGTAGCATTAGCCTGTTAATTAGAAAAATCATGGGGGGGAAGAGACATGTGTGTTTATGGGACACGAGTGTGGGACTCTCCTACATACAAATTAGCTGTCATGTTTTCTGCAAAAATCAATTTAAAGAAACTTTGTGAACCACTTTGATACATTCCCACTATACCAAATGCGATGGCTATTTAGTTTTCTGATTTTGTTCAGCAACAAAACACTAACTTGCAGGCGAAAGCTGTGATCCAGTCAGGAGCCAGAACTGAATGCATGACCCTGTTTCACAGATTCTGGCATTGAGAATGGTATAATCGCCTAGTAATTCTTATTAGGAATTTTTAAATTTAATACAGATGTTTGATCCTTGTGGTGTCCTGTAGCATAGCGGTTAGAACACTCGCCTCATAAACGAGAAGATCTGGGTTTGATTCCCGGGCAGGGCGAAACGTTGGGCAAGTTTCCTTACTCCACGCACCAAGCAGCAAGTAGGAACCCGGTAGTTAGACGATTGGTAGATCGTTTTTTGGGGGTAATAATCCCTTCACTCAATCCACGACTGTTTGTGGGACACTGCTGTGTGCAATTGGCTACCACATTTCGCCCACAAAATATACTGTCGATTCACTTTATAGTGTATTCTATGAAGTGCTTTGAGACCTCTCAAAGACATAAGGTGCTACATCAAATGCAAGGATTATTATTACTGTACACAGGGCCAGGAGGGTTAATTGATAACATTTGTGCAATCATGATCTTCTCTCCGACCCAGCTCAGAATTATTAAAGCCACATATCTGTTATTCCTCTGGACAAAGTCAGCTCCCAAGATCGGGCTAGGGATGCAAACTTTTGACTTACGGCTCAATCCTGCATTAGTGATGCAGTTAACCACTAAGAGATTAGTAGCTTCTTGAAAGGTATTTGAGGATTTTTTTTCCATTAGTGAGAAAAATGTTTACAAATGTCAGGCTTCTGTTTTGTGGTAGATAGGATCCATAAAAACTGAAGCATTATAGCTGGTTTCACTCTGCAAGTGTGTAATTGCTGATTCCCACGCTAAAAAACATTTGACTTCCAGGCGATCAGGTCGTCACTTCCTCAATGTTGCACGTGAAGAAAACGCAGGAAATCATGTTGGCGGTGACCCGATCACCCAGAAGTCAGCCTTTATTTGTGTGGGAAACTGAAATAGCCAACTTCTGGGTCATCAGATCTCTGCTGGAATGGCTTTCTGTGTTTCTACGTCACTCAGGAAGTTAGGTTGGTTATAACCTAATGTCCCAGAAGTTGCAATACAATACAATCTGCATTTATATGGCATCTTTCAAATCAGGAGGATTTCCTAAAGCACTTAAGTTGGCCATTAGTTCAAGAGGTAACTGGTGTGTGGGAAGTGAGCAAGCCAGCTGCACTGCAAATGGGGTCCATGCTGCAACTATTATAACCAAACATATGCTGTAAAGAAACATGTTATAATGGGGCTGCATTGTATTATCTTCCATGTGAAGCTGAAACCAATAATATCATTTGCTCATATTTCCTGTGAATCTGTACTATGTTGTTCTTTGTGTATGACATATTTTACCCCAAACCTATTGAGGAACCTGATATCTATCCTGGAATTATGTTGGTTGAATAAATATCAATTGTGTAGGCGTTCATCTAAGTGGTTACAAAGCTGTCTCAAGATCTCTAATCTGGAATTTCAGTTTGTCTAGGCCATTAAGGCTAGTTGTCCGACTACCTTTTAATTAAGTTATGTTTGTCACCCAATCTCGAAATAGCATCTACAAGCACCCAATCCACAAATGTTTGGAACTTCAAGTGGGATCAGCCATTTTCATGTCCAGCTGTTGGATGTAAGACAGAAATGAAAAATAATTTAAAGCTTGCAGCCACACTGACTAAAGTCCAAGGGTTGTGGCCGGTTACTGGGCATTTAGACTTTGAAGTACCCAAAGAAATTAACTGCAGATTCCTTACACATTGACACCTTTGTAACTGGTATAAGTCACTGTTAATCAGTTAAATCTATATATTTTTGCACATCTATGTACTTCATCAAGGGAAAACACAGCAATTACATTTACAAAAAAAGGCTTCCAATTGTGATTAGTTGTTGCAGTCCAACATCTTGAATTCTTAAAATACAAGGTTGTTTACTTGGTTAAAATTCAGATTCTAGAAATGACAATAATAATCCTTGGCAACACTGCATTGGCAGTCACAGCAATATTTCACAGAATATATTCCTCACAAATTTTCAGCATCAGACAAAGTTTACATTAAAACTGTACTATCATACAAGTATAAGGCTTGTTTACATAGGTTACAGAAAACATACTGTAAGAACCTACTAACCTCTAAATCAAAATATTTTATTCTGTATGTTCATTAAAGTTCAGGTGTACATATGATTTGTAGAAGTAATAATTTTGAAACAAATTATTTACAGAAATTTGAATGGTGGGGTCTGCCGTTGCTATGTAAATCTAAAGTTGAACAAACTGTTTTTTTCTTTAATTTTTTAAAGAGAAGCCTGCATCATTTTAAGCATTTCTGAAAATATTGTTGTGTGATTCCCTTTCACTGTCAATGGAATTATACAAGTAAAATTTCCATAAGTGCTCTGTAAATGCAGTCCCATTTCCCTCTGTTACTGATTTTCATGGGTTGTGATAGCAAGGCATTCAGAGCTGGGCTATTTAATGTATATATTTTAAATCAAAACACACATTTCCCAGATTTTAGTTGACATCTTGGAACAAATCAAGCGCCCTGGGACGTCCTTCGAACCTGAAAGACGCTATACAAATGTAATTTTGTACTGTATTTTGTAAATCTGTATCAAAATGTCTTAAAATAAACTGAGAATTAAAAAAAACTGTTACTTCTGAGTGTAGTGAAGGGGAATACTCCCTTTGATTTACTTATGAACTTTTATTTAAAATAAAGTTGTAATAGTGTAAAATTAAAAATGGAATGTTTGTGAAGCTTCATGTGTGAAGGTGCCCCGGTTACACACTTATTGGCAAAATTATTGTAACGGCGATAAAGCTTGCTGTGATTGATAATGATGAAGGCAGTTATATTGGAGCTGAATACAAAGGATGTTTATGCTTAAGTATTAAAAACAGTAAAAAATGTGACAAATGTATGCATCATGTTAAGGCTTTATATGAACAAACCAGTGTATTACAATTAAAATAGCTATTTACATTTGTTCTAAGTTTCTATTTTTGGCTTCTTTTAATACCAGTGGTATTTATTCCTCACAGTGAAACAACTGGTTTCATCACAGAGTTATAAAGGTACCGATCTTTTGTTTGCTCTCTCGAATAAAGTGTTTTGTGTACATTTGCGGAAGCGAGACAGAAAGAAACAAGTTACTGTGTACATTTGTAGCTGATCGTATTTACATTAATTTCTACATTTTAACCTCATTTACTGTAACTTCACAGAAAAACTTTTAAAAATGTAGAATCCCGGTCGGTTTCTAATCCAGTTCTGAATGCCACATTCCACGTTCTGATGCAAAAGATACAAAAATGAAAAAGTTTGGTTCTCATTCAAAAAAACATTTTGTTCTCAATGCGCACTCAGAAAACCCTGATTCACTGAGTTCAGTCCAAGCTGGTGTTTTAAGAATGGTTAATGGTTGTTGTGCAGCCCAAATGCAGGGCAGTCAAGTAGTACGTTCTTCAGCAATCACCAGTCATGGCCAAGGCCACAATCCATGCTGAGTTGTATTTAACATTGGACTTCAATTCATTCTCTCTTCCTTGCCCTTCAACAATTACTCTTAGTTCGTATGATTCCTTACCCCAGGAGTACAACTTTAGATAAATGCCTTTGAACCATATTTTGGCTTTGCACCTGGAGAACGTTTCCAAACCTAGTGAAGTCTTTTTTGTTCCAACCATTACTCCTTCAGTTGTAGTTGTAGAGTTTCTGAGGTAATTAATTATAAGTGGAGTACATTTTCCAAAAAGACAGGTCAAGGATCTCGGTATCGCTTTCCATCAAATCTTGCTCTTCACTTATTTTACAACAATCTATTCTCTGGCAAAAATTCCTAAGTCCATTTTCTGGCACATTCCAGTATTTGTTTTTGAGAAATGGGAGAAAATGACCTGTATGAAGAATACACAACGCTATCACTTTGGAACGATTTCTTTTAGATTATGAGTGATCAACTTCAAGAGAAGTTCTGATTTTGTCCTCATTTGTTTGGGCGGCATTGTCCTCACTATTGCTATGCTGCTTGAGAAGCAGTCCTCGCCACGTTCCTTTATTCTTTCGCAGATTGTTCATCATAGTTATGGTCAAAGGAGTGTTTTCAGTAAACCGTGACCATTCCACAAATAAGGGCTCCACAATGAAGCTCATGAAACCTAAATCAAGCAATTAGAAAAGTGAATGCATTTTTATCGAATACAAATTACTAAAGAAAACTAGTCAAACAAAAAGGTTGTATTTTCAAAATCTTACTCCTAGCTCTCGATATATAAGCTCCATACTGGCCGAGACCACATGTCAGATAATTGCTTGGGTTCTGGTGCCACTTAACACAAAATTTTAATTTGAAGGATCCCGTGACACTGCTTAGAAAGAGAAGGGAGTTTCTCCCAGTGTCTTGGCCAACAATCCCTCGAAGAAAATTGATCACTCATTCAATGACTGTGTGGTGGACATTGCTGTTCACAAAAATTAGCTGCTCCATTCGCCCACAAAATTCACAATTATATCACTTTAGAGTGCATCTGTGAAGAGCTTTGATAAGCTCTGGACAACATGATAAAGTGCCATATCAAATGTGAGAGTTATATTTTTAATAATTTGAAAAAATTGAAAACGTTCACAAAGGTGAAGAATAAAGCTTCCCCAGAGGTCTAGTGGATAAAAGCACCTCCTCAGAGACAATCAAAGGACATGGGTTTAAATCTCAGGCTGTGTTGATGGAGGCTGAGCACAGTAGTTGAATGCTTGGATTCAGCTCCCCCAGAGTTAGGGAGAAGAAGTCAGCAGGACCTCTTGCGACAGATTGCTATTTCCCTGCTGGAAGGTGCATGTAGTATTCAGGTGAGGACAGAATCAGGCTTGGTTGGTGTAATAACTGCCACAGTCAAATAGCTGGGTAATGCTCATTGCCAAAGTCCATACTGAATGAAGGCTATTAAAGTAAGGTACCAGAGGGAGCCTAGCACGTGTAGAACCATACCCCAGTAAAAGGAGTCAAAAGTGCCTCGAGGGAGGGAGGAAAGACTGACAGAAAAAAAGGATAAAAGAATAGTAACGTTTACACAGCCTATCATAAATTGGGAAATCCAATTATTAATACATAATGAAAAGATACAGTTTTTAGTCATCTGTGTACGATAGACAGAGGTGAATGTCTGATGATATCCACCAAAGCAGATTGTACCTTCAAAGAAGGAGCTTTAGCAGCATTAAATTTTAAAAAATTCAAAAGATTTGAATATTGAAATATCAAAACCATTTCTGAGACTTTTATGTTGAAAGATAGAAAAAATATGAAAAATATTAAAAATATTGGGTGGGAAGCTCCAATTGTGTGTTTTCCCCAAGCAGCTCTTTGTGGTATCTTCTCTGCTCCTGTCCAAACCTGTTTCCTTAACCCTAATCCCCAAATAAGCATCAGTTTAATGGTACAGTACCTATTTGTATGCTGGGAATGCTGTCTTTCTGTTGATTGCACAGTGGGCTAATTTCAAGATGCAACCGATGCTCTAGATCACCTGAAAGAAAATAATTAATAGATTAAAGAAGAACAGTGGATTCTCAGATCATTGGTACTAGTTGGGTGTGCTGTAAAGCACAAGATCTTAATGGAAGGCAGAGGCAGTGAAATACAATGGATATCAGAGCAATTATTGCTTTGAAATCATTCTAATTAGTTCTTATATCTATTAATAATCAGATGATAATAGGGACGAGGAGTTAAATTGTGTATTAAGATAGTTTTGTACTGACAATTTCTAACAGTTCAGATGTTGACTCCATCTTGTTAAGAAATGAATAATTCCAACATAATTACTGCAAGTCTACAAGGAAATAATTTGCAACAGAATTACCAGGAGCTTTTATGCAGCAATGAAACATAAGCAATATTATCCAGATACATGCTTCTGTCTGAACAGGATGATTCCTTAGTAATACTCTGAGGTATAATTAAATAAAGCAAACTGTAGACAGACACGGCAGACGTTTCCCAGCAGATCCACAAGGCAGAGTCCAAAGACGAGTGTGACAGGATAAATCTGATGAATGAATCCATTACCTACTCATACATTTTCCAGCTTCTAGTGATATTTTCACGTAAGACACTTGTTTGCTCTGTTAGGTGTGGCCCTCCTAGTTACAAAAAGGAATAAGTAAGGAATAAATAAGGAAAATCTATTTCCTTTAGTTGGGGAATTGGTGTCAAGGGGCATAGTTGCAGGATTGTTTGCTGAAAAAAATAGGAGAAAGGAATTTCTTCATTCAGAAGACTGTTAGGATTAAGAATTCATTACCTCAAGTGGCTGTTGAGGTTGAATTATTGGAATCGTTCAAAATGAAACCTAATAAGCACCTGAGCAGTAAAAACATTAAGTAATACGATGGAAAGCTGGAAAGTCGGATTAATAAAAAAAAGTAATTTAGAAAAAATGCGTAACAATGGGCTGATCTACCTACTTCTGTGTTTGTGAATGCTTTTTCAAGGAATGAAGCCCCCTGCTTTCCCCTCCATCTGCCCACAACTTCCACCAATGGTATAGAGTCAAAAGCTAAATGGATGGAGGAAAGGTAATGGAATGAATCAGTAGATTTTCCTTCCCTTTGTAGATAGGCGATTGTCACTAATTCAGCCTACACCAACAGGATTGAGATCAAATTCAATTGAATTTGGGCAAAGCAACCAAAGGAATTGCATCAGTATTACAATTACTTGGTGGAGCCACAAAACACTGCAACATTAAGGTGCTCAGCTATAGATTTAAAACAGATTAATTAACTCGTTCAGGCCTAACTGCAACACAATTAGTTGGATACTTGGCTCCCTACTTAGGTTTTTTAAGTTGAAACGTAAGAAAAATTAGCCAGCCCAGTTAGACTGCAATTTCCCTGAATCTGCTATTGTCGAAAGGTTCGCAGCAATTTGATTGCATTAATTATCTTAAGTGGGTTGAGTTATACAAGCCTTGAACAATAATCTGACCGAGCATTAAGAAAATATGTGTGTTCCTTCCACAGACCATTAACAATCTGACTTATTGTAGAGTGTACCCAACTTGTTTAGTCTCTGGAGTGAGATAACAACAATAAAAAATTCAAAGATGATAAAATTCTGTGAAATTTCGCTTCAAGTCCCTGAAGGTAATCCAATAAAACTCCAGTAATTCAATCCAACTATACCAATTACTTTATACAACTCTGGACTAACAGCAAGGGGACCATTGTGTTTTCTACAGCATCTGTAACAAGCACATCTGTAATCTGCTGTGCGCAATTGGCTACCGCATTTCGCCCACAAAATATAAAGTCAATTCACTTCACAGTATATTCTGTGAAGTGCTTTGAGACGCCTCGAAGAGTGATAATGCGCTATATCAAGTACAAGGATTACTATTATTTTATTATTATTATTATCTGTTTTAAACCACCTTTGCATTGAATTTGCTTTTGTGTTCAGTTGCAATAAATGTATTTCCTTATTTTCAAATGTGTTTTCTACTACTGGTTATTTTAAAGAACAATAAATGTGTTTAAATGGCTCTTTTTTCATAAGAATTTTTTAAAAAATCTTGCTTTGGTGAATGAATGTAAAATAGTTTTGATCAATCACCCATAGCTCACACTACCTGAAATTGTGTTTGAATCTGTCGGTTACTATAGGCTACTTATCAAGCATATTTAGAATAATTTAAGAAAAATGAAAATCTAGGGGATACTTTATCCACTGGACAATGGCAACTATGTTTTATTATGAGCATTGATATTTGTTTTTATGACTCTCTTTTCATATGAATCATTGCAATTTCTAGTTGCTGTATTGTACTTTGAATTTTTTGGTTATCAGATACATGCATTGATAAAATAATGTTTGGAATTAACAAATGCAAACAAAGCTTTCCTTGCCTTTAATTTTCTACTTCCTTAAGGTCAACTTCTTGATTGAAAAACAGGTTGTCTGAAATGTAGCAGCATAAATGGGGTGTCAAAGCTCCAAAATAAAAACATTGGGGTAAAAGTGTTTCTCCTGCAAGGTCCACTGTATATATTTTTCTCTGAGGCTCCAGGATTGACTTGTGGTTCGAGCTGAGTTCTCAGATGTTGATGCAATGTACACTGGTGGTTTGTTTCAGGAGGCAAACTTTACACCCAAGACGAGTTTTTTAAGGTTGAGGCAATATTTATGCTGCCATTTTCTCACTGAGTACGTTTTTCAGCTCTATTGTATGCATACAAAGCAGACCTGGGGGAACTATAAGCAATAAAAATGGAGCAATTGTTTTGAAAATGGAATGATTGTCGATTTTGTGGCCAGAAAAGGAGTCCAACTACACAGCTCTGTGGAAATTCTCAATTTAAGAGAGAATTAACCTGGAAGATAGCCTGTTCTCTGCTGGAGATGAATCATGTCAAATTTGTGATTGCAATAATAGGAAAATGACATGCAGAACACATTTGGATATTAGTGATGCTTCATTAATAGCACACAACACAGAATACAAAAAAAAATGATCTTTGTACCATTTGACATATCAAAGATGCAGATAGATATCCCAGAACATGATCTGGTGATTTAGAGAGCAGAAAAATAGCAACCGCCCAAATATTTCACTGATTCCTATAATCTTCCAGTGTAAATTTCTAAACCTTGATTTGTTTTTTCCTCCAGGAAACCGAAAGTATTGTAATTGGTAGCAGTGAAGTATTGGAGTACGTGACCCACCAGTTAAACTTCAAGTGATTACTGTATTTCCTTCCTGTTTGTCAGGTTTTGCCTTTGACAATTTGTCAAAGTTGGTTAGTTTCGAAGGCCTTAGTGGCTTTCACTGGATTCTTAAAGACATGCAGCACAGCATCTTGGAGCTGTAATGTCACCTTACAAGTAATGAGTGGCTATGTTCTTGTTTCAGACCTTTTCCTTAAAGAGATGGGTGGAGAGCCAGAAAGAGATAAGCCTGGCCTCACTAACCTTGTCTGTAGAATTCCTCACAGACCTTCTCACTCCACTGCTTGCTCATTTCCCAGACTCGACAAGGATTACAGATATCTGCGCACTTCAGTGCAATCTGAAAAGCAACATCAGAAACTCAATTGAAAAACAATTCTAAATTCTTCATGCTGATACTGGAATGCAGCAAAGTTACACACATTTCCTTTCTTTTATTTTCCTGGGAATTATACACTTAAAAATCTAGTTTTTGGTCAGCTTGTTGCAGAAACCCAACACCACTCTGATGAGTATCTAAACCAGGCAAAGTTCCAGCTCCCTGTAGCCACTTCCTTTTTTTCCAAAAATCCACCTCACTGCCTGTTCGTGGAATTTGCAAATGGGCTGAAGGAAACCCCTCCACTGCATGCCCAGAAGCTCAGATCACTGAAGGAGAATTCTTTGGATGCAGGTGTTATATGCCATAAGGTTAACCTGCATGAGACTTTGCCATCATTGAAGAGAGACGGGAATGACCAGAATGCCCTTTGCCTCTTCTCAGCACAGACCCACTGGGCGGTGTCCAAGCAAAAGTTTGTCTCTTCCAGATACTGATACGAATCAACAATTGGGACTGATGCTCCTCGTATCTTCCAATGTATAGCTTCAAGGTCCCCTTTCGAGCCATACAAAGCTATAATACCGCGCTTGAAGGCACCCATCATCATGTCCCACTGAGTGGCCCAGTGTTCAAGAAATGAATTATAGTGCGCGAGATTCCCAAGTGAGTCTGCTAACAGCATAATATCATCTGGAAATAGAAGCTTTGCACTTCTATCAGAAATGCCAGGTACAGACACACTAAGTCCATCCTCTCCAATTCATCGAATAAGGTGGGTAACAGCAGACAATCTATCCAAACCCCCACTCCCCCTTTTGAGAGGGATAGACTTTGTGAGTCTCCCATCAAGCCTTACATAGTTATTGGAGTCTTCTATTAATATGGATAACTAACATAATTTAGATTTAAATGATTTAACTAGAAGTTTGTCACACACATTACACTGACAGGAATTCCCCTACAAAAGTACATCGGGCCAGAACGGTGATCCCACACATCAATAAGATGAACTTCTGGTTTTCTTAATCAAGAAACAAAATATCAGCCCCTAATGTCAACAAAACCCCTTTGTGTGTTTTACACAATATCTGTTTCCATCTGAATGCTATGTAATCCACATTTGGATTAAAACCTAAAGAGGAGGTGGAGGTTAGTGTTTTTCCAGTTTTTCTTGATTGAATATTGTGAAATGAGGAATAGGTTTCTATTAGTAAAGTGATGGGATAGAATGCGAATGCCAATTAAGACTGCAGTTCTCCTTTTAGCATTCCAGAACCGAAGTGGTTGGGTTGTTCATTGGTGTTTACATCATTATTAACCTACCTGCAGTATGAAGTGTCTATGATTTGCATCCTCTAGTGATAAATCCCTATTGTCCGAGTGAGCTTTCATTCTCGTAAGAAACTCATTCTGTCGGTTAATATCCGTAGCCAGAATGAGGGAACCCAACTGCTGCTCAACGTCTTGTCTGTAACAAAAATAGAGCAGAGAAATAATCTACATGATGTGGTCTTTTTTTTTAATGTACATTTCACCTTACAAGCAAACAGATTAGAGGAGTAGGCATAGGTATGGTGGCACAGTCCACTGAGACACTGAGACACTGCATTAATGAATGAGCGCTGGGACACTAAGATAGATTTTTAAGATAGATAACATCCACCTGGCTGCTTCCTCCTTCTCCCCTCCATGTCGCTTACCACCCGCCACCCCCAGCCTTCATCACTCTCTTCCCCCTAGCACGACCCACACCCTACACTCCTTCGCCCCCATCTTTCCCTCCTCCCTTTCCCCCATCACCCATAAGAAGACCACCACCTGCTGCCTCAACCCCTCTCCACCCAGCTTCTGGTCATTCAACTCCCCTTCCTCTGCCCACAGCTGGCTGACAATATAAATCATTTCCTCTCCGCAGGGTCTCTTGCACCACCTCTCAAAGCCACTATCATCACTTCTCTCCTTAAAAAACCTACCCTCAATCCCTCCAACCTCACAAACTTCAGACCCATCTCAAACCTGCCCTTTCTGACCAAAGCTTTGGAACGCGTCATTGCAAATCAACTTCACTCATAACTCTCCCTCCACTCTCAATGCGAACCCCCCAATCTGGTTTTCGCCCTGCCCACAGCATAGAGACAGCACTCATCAAAGCAACAAATGCCGTCCTCTCCCTCTGTGACCGGGGCTCCCTCTGCCTCCTCATTCATCTGGACCTCTCCACCATGTTCGAGACAGTTGATCACGCCATCCTCCTCCAACACCTCTCCTCCTCCCCCACCTTAGTGGGACCGCACTCATATGCTTCAAGTCCTACTTAACAACAATACACCTCGGTAAATGTTTTTTTCTCCTGCCCCCGCCTAGTCACTTGCGGGCTCCAAAGCTCTATCCTTGGCTCCCTTCTTTTCCTTATCTATATGCTCCCTCTCGAAGCTGTCATCCACAGACAAGTATGCAGAAGACACCCAAATCTACTTCTCCAGCTGTGACTTCCAGTCCCCTGATGTCCTGTCAGCTTGTTTGACAGACATCAAGGCCTGGATGAGCGCAAATTTCCTGTAGCTGAATGTCAACAAGACAGAAGCCATACTCTTTGCCTCCCATCAACGTCTTCTCTCCTATGGGTCTGAACTCCTCAACCTCCCCAGGCTCACCCTCAAGACTCTCTGAATCCTTGTGCAACTTAGGTGTAAGTTTCGATCCCCAGCATTCTTTTCTACCCCACATCCGTTCCCTGGTCAGGAACGCTTTTTTCCACCTCCATCGCATTGCCCACCTCCATCCTTACCTCACAACCAACACAGCCAAAATCCTCGTCCACGCCTTTGTCACTTCCTGGCTGGACTTTTATAATGCCCTCCTCTCTGGTCTCTCCAGCTCCACCATACACAAAATTCAATTAATCTAAAACTCACCTGCACTAAACTCCGTACCCCAATCACACCTGTCCTTGCCAGGCTCCACTGGCTCTCAATAACCAAGCAGATCGATTTCAAGATCCTTTTACTCGTTTTCAAATCCCTTTATACCCTCGCTCCTCCCTACCTGCCTCCGCTCGGCTAGCTCTGGTATCCTGTTTGCCCCTTGTCCTATCTGTTCCACCGTTGGTGGCCGTGCCTTTATCCACTATGCCCCGAAACTATGGAAGTCTCTCCATCAATCTCTCTGCCTTGCCCCCTCCATTCCCACCTCAAGTCCCGTCTAAAGACCTTTCTTTAATTGTGCGTATGGTCACCACCCCACTCTCCCCCTGGCTCGGTATCAGACTCCGCCACGGTCAAGTGGTCTGGGACACCACCCCGCATGAAGGGCACTATATAAATGCAAGTTGTTGTTGACATATTTACACCTCCAGGCCTCCACATTACTGAGTTCCTATGCTAGGCCAGGTTACTAAAGGTAAAAGCCATGACTGGATGTATTCAAGATAGAAATCTGAAGAGTCTCTGCTTTGAGACAAGCTGTCGATATAGAAAGATATTGACTTTGGCGAATGTGCTGGGTGCCAGCAGGAATAAGACTGTTCATTGAAAAAAAGTAGAATTTTCTAGTAATAAAATACAGCATATGTTTGAACGATAAACATAGTATCAATTTAGCCCTGAGGACAACCTTTCCGTGTACAGTCTCATCTGGAGTATAAACACCGGCATGGACTGGTTGCACTGAATGGACTGTTTCCGTGCTGTAGAGTCTATCTATGTAAACATGTGGGTAATTTGTAATGTTCTAAGTGCATAGTGCAATTTAAAAAGAAATTGCTCACATTTCCTTTATAGTCAAAGAATAAACCACTAATTTCCTTTTAACTTAGATCGTACTCAGCATGAATGGCACAAAGAGGAATCAGGACTCAAAATGTATGTGTGTGGAAAAGATGAGCCAGGGTTCCAGTTCCTGATTGCTGTTCAGTGACTCCTGCTGAAAATCAACTTATTTGGATATCAGGTGAGGACATGATTAGGTTGAGGCATGACTCCCCACGGTCGAACATCCTGTGCATATTCACTGTGGTACAAGTACCCGAGAGTACCTAAGGCACGCACGGACCATCACCTCAGCATGAGTCCGTATCTTCGGGAGAGGAAATTGAATAAAAAAACGCAACAAGAACAGAACAAATAATCAATGCCAGCAGTATTTTACATTTATGGTTTTATTTCCAAGTTGCTGTACCTTCACCAATTCAACAAGCAATTGTAAAGTTGGCTGACATCCCAGACCACACTCAACATGTGATTGAATACTGTTCTTAACGTTTGGGCTTTATTAAATACCCAAGGTACATTATTGAATTTTTACTGGAGTGTATTGAAATGCCACAGATGAAAATTACTCACATCATTTCAACAGGCAGATGAGCCAACAGCCCAGATTCTCGAAGCATTCCAATTGTCGATCTCCAGTGGTGATTTTCCAGCACAGAGACATTCTAAACAAAGAGGAAATTCTTATAACAACAGATGCTGCTTTCAAAATTATTGATATTCTTGAGGAAAAGTCATCAAATGAATAGAACATTTAGAAGAAAGGTAACAATTTAGACAGAATATGGGTTTCTGATTAACCATTTGTTACCGCTATGTCTTACAAAGAAACCACACCCACCCACCACTATTAATGTACTTAAACACAAAGGGCGTTTAAATGAATTGTCCCCTATTCCTGAAAACTGTTCTATGCTTTTCACGGGTTCTTAAGCTTAAGCTACCCTTTGTCCTTGCTGCAATGTTTTATTTTTTGAAATTTCAATTCAGCGTAGCCTGGGAGCAGACCCTGGGCTCTCAGCAACCTGCAAATAATACACTCCGGACTTAAGTAACCTGGATGCATCATTCCAGGAAGAGACCGCACATTCCATTCCAGAAACCGGGAAGTGGCTAACTCAAACACACAACAAATCAATAGGAGAACGTATTTTGGCTACCAATACCATAACATAAATAGTTTCACACTTGTAACATTGGTTTACTGAAAGAAGCCATCAAATGAACCTTACCATGAAAGTCTTATTTTAAAAGTTACATTGTTGTTACTCTGAGTGGTTCAGTAATCACTGAATGCTGAGATGTTTTATGCTTGTGTTGTCACGGAAGAGATTCTCGGGGTTCATATTTAAGAACCAAACCTGTTTCTCTCAATTGAGCACTGGCTTGAGGAGACAACAGGCCTGTGTGATGCTCACCTGGTATAAGCTGGCCAGATGGTGTTTGGTTTTAATAAGAAAAGGTTGGTTGACTCCTGGATGATCAACGTCGTGTGCAGCAGCCGCCATCAAACCAAGCATAATATCGAGTGGTGTCAAATAATGGGCCAGCTTTTTAAAAAGAGTCAAAAGAGAAAATGGGAAAATTATTACAAAAATAAGTATGAGTTTTTAAACTGAAAAACAAAGCCACTCAGTGACACAGAATCATAGAATTCTTCGGCACAGAGATCATCATTGGGTGATTGTGTCTGTGCAGCCTCTCTGTATGAGCGCTAATCACACTCCCCTGCCTTTTCCCTACACCTCTTTTTAAAACTATTTCCCTTTTATGACCAATTTTATTTGGGGGAATGTTGGCCAGAACACTCGGAGAAACTCCCTTCTCTTTTCATATAGTGCCATGGGATCTTTAATGGCCACCTGAACAGGCAGACGGGCCTCAGTGTAACATCTCATCCAATGCAGCACATCCATGGCATAGCACTGAAGTATCAGCCTAGACTATATTAGATGGATTGTACCTGAACTCCGGTCCCTAGATAAACAGGAAGATTTATATCAGGCTTTTCAAAAAGCCCATCAAACTCACATGAAAAAAAACAATAGAGACTATGTGCAGCAGAAAATGCTCTGTGTATTTGGGTGTACAATCAACATGGTCAGGCAGAGACAATGCATTTCTGTGTATCATTCTGATCTGTGGAGTGTGAACATTTTGACAGTTTAAATTCAGTCTTGAATCTCCATTCCCATATTTGGGATTAAAACAGCCCATTCAAAAATACAAAGATTCAAGACTGGAGGCATTCCCAATCCTTAATCTGCAACTAGTAACATTGAATGAAAAAAGTCAAACCTTGAGACAGTAAAAATAATGAATTGTGATATAAAACATAAAATAAATATTGAGGTACAATTAAGTTTGACTGCAATTGAGCACTGCAGTGGTGTAGACGTGATGAAGTTTTATAATGCCCCAAAGGTTCAAATGATCTATAAAAAACAAACACATCAGTTAGATTTGATAGAGCAATTGATTCCAGTCTTGAATGTGACTGACTGAAATATCAAAGGTCCCAGACGTTTATCTAGTGGTTTCAAAGCCATCAGAAGAAGTCAATACTATGTGTAAATTATCATTATTGGAAAGCTCGCCTGACAAATGAACTAGACTCCTTTCAGCTGATTCTGTTATCCAATTCTCACTATATCTTTTGTTTGTGATGAACTGACTTTATTTCGCAGGTGGAATTAAAGAAGTCTGGTAAGACATCATTCAAAAAAGAAAATGCTATTCAGAAAGATGTGGTTTTAACTTTGTACATTACACCCTTTTTGAGACATCCTCCAGATGTGAAAGGCGCTTTAGAAATGCAATCTGTTACTGCTGTTGTTAAATGACTTCAGACCACAGACCTCAATTGATAGAAGGGTCCTCCTTTTTCATTGGCGGTTCATTTTATTAAGATTTTAGTTCCTAGTCATCATTATGGAGCTGCACATAGGACCAGGACATCTTTTGTTACAATAAAAGGTTTGTAATAAAAAGAGAAGTTAACATGAGATTCCCTTCTACCGAGGGAGAAGATAATAGCACGATACGGGAGGGAGTAAGGAGTGGGTCTTGACTCATGTGGTATATAAACATGGACTAATTGGGCTGAATGCCCTGTTTCCGTATTGTACATCGATGTAAATCTATGTAACTGTATTGTAACCATGATAAAGAAAATGCCATTTAAAAAATAAATTAATCAGCGTTTTCTATTGTGATTTGCACATCAATGATATTTTTTTAAAAAACTGCTTTCGATGATACGAATTTTGGAAGGTAGATCAGGACAGTTTCAGTGGAAGCCAAAACAAGAATAAGTAATTGTAATATGTCTTCGGCCAGCTAACTGATGAGATAAATAGATTTCTAAGAGGTGTAGAAAATCAGAATCAATTAAAACAGGCATTTTGTTTTACAAAATAATGTTAAAGCCAGTCAGGAACCTCGGGGTTCTGTTCGACCCTGAGCTGTCCTTTCTCCCCCATATCCGCGCCAGAACTGGCACCGCCTTCCATCACCTCCGGAATGTCGCCAGACTACGGCACTACCTCACCCCTCACGTTGCTGAAACTCTGGTCCACGCCTTTATCACCTCAAGGCTGGACTATGGGAACTCTCTCCTCGCCGGCCTTCCCGCACCTCCCTCCACAAGCTGCAGGTCATTCAGAACTCTGCAGCTCATGTACTGTCCCGCACCAGGCATCGCAACCACATCACTCCCACCCTCGCTCGCCTCCACTGGCTCCCCATCCCCCAGAGGATCGAATTCAAGATCCTCATCCTCACCTACAAGGCCATTCATGGCCTTGCTCCCTCCTACCTCTCCGACCTACTATAACCCTACCTACCTGCTCGTACCCTCCGTTCCTCTGGCTCCGGTCTGCTCCACATCCCCCGCCCCAACCGCTCTACTATTGGTGGCCGGACCTTCAGCCTCTCAGCCCCTAGGCTCTGGAACTCTATCCCCCAGTGCCTTCGCCACCTCCTCCCTTTCCTCCTTCAAGGCCGGTCTCAAGACCTTTCTCTTTGACCGTGCCTTCAGCTCCCCTCTCGACTCTCTACCCCCTCCTCGCTCCCTCCCTTCCCTCCCCTCACCCTGACCATTTACCCCCTGCTTGGGTCCTGACCCAACTGTACAGCGCCTTGGGACGTCCTCCCATGTGAAAAGCGCTCAATAAATGGAATCTTGTTGTTGTTGTTGTTGTTGTTATTGTCAGCTTTTGCTTGTGAATTTACACTGGTGTAAATATAAGTAACTGCAATCTTCAAGGGTATAGTTCATGCTCCACATGGTTTAAGAAAATTTAAATGCTGTTGTATGTTCAGTTCCACGTTAAAATGCCCTGATGTCAACTGATTTCCATTACCCCAGTCCTTGCAAGGCTCCACTGGCCTCACCTACTAATCACTGCATGCTGAGGTACCTCCCTAACTCTCAAACATGCACACACTCCACTCCCCTTCGCTCCAGCCTTCTGCACGTCGCTCGTCCCCTCCATTCCACCATCGGTGGCTGTGCTTTCAGCCACTGTGCTTCGAAACTCTGGAACTCCCTGACTCAATCCTTTCATGTTGACCCTCCTTGCTTGTCTTCAGATCGCACCTGAAGACCTTCCTCTTCGACCTTGACTACAGTTACCTTCCCTTTCTCTGCAGATCCGGTCAAGATCTGCCATTATTTACAGCTCCGAGAAGCGACCCAGTGTGAAGAGCGCTATGTAAAAGGCAAGCTAATGTTGATCAAAATCACAAATTTCACAATCACTCCAGAAATTATTACTCTGAAGTAAATGCCAAATTGGCATTGGAGTAAGCACAACATTAATCACAATTAAAACAGAAGTTTAGAAAAACATTTCTTTACACAAAGGTGGTTGTAATGTGGAATTCTCTTGTTGAAGCAGAGTTCATACATCCTAATGAAAGAGAATTCAATAGATGCTTGAAAAAGAGGAACATTGACAGTTGATTGGTTCATGTGGAGAGAAACACCAGAGCAGAATTAATGGATCAAATGTCCTGTTTCTGTACTATAAGCTTCTACGATTCTTTGATTGTAAATGACATCAAGGAGCTAACCTGCTGTGTTTCCCATTGCCTGGAGACGTATTCTGATGGTAAATTTCCCTAACCACACAAAGCATTAATTTGCATTATTTTGGATAGTATTTTCACACTAATATAAAACCCATGACCAGAGGTAGAACTCTGATCAATATCAAAAGTCTAGACTAGCACAATTCACTCTATTGTGGCTGAGTCCAAACTGGATTCTTTCCAGCAAGAAATTTGCAGTATACAAGCATTTCAACTGTCTAGCATTACAGTTCAGGGCAGCAGCCCTTGTTTAATGCCTCGAACCCTCATGAATAAAATAAGTCGATTTTTGTTTTAAAAAAAGGCATTTTACCTCTTTTGCAATCACTCAGAGTCGATATACAATTACAAAATTAGAATTTCGAATTGTGTTAAAATGTAGGGTATACCATATGCCAGTTGCTAAAAATAGTGATCCTTCCATTGTGTTTTTATATGTGAGATGTATGATAGACCCTAGTCACTCGCTCTCTTAATTCCAGTTCAAATAACAAAGTTCCCAACTGATGTGCTGGGTAAAACAATACTGACTTCCAAACCAAACAATCAGAAGAAACCTTTCTGTAAAAGCATGTCAGATAAGAGGTGGCCAATACATGGCTCTAAAGTGGCATGCCTAGTTTTGGAATTATATTCATTTCAAATTTCCCTGTGTCAGAAATGTAATGCATACTCTCTGCTTCAGAGGGACAACTCTGCTTACCTAATCCCAGAGAGTACTAGGCACAGGTTGGCAACAATCCTTAGAATTTAGTTGACAGAAACGTGCTCTATGGCTCCATCCACGGAAAATTTGCTTTTGAAACCACATATTGAACCTGGGAACTTTTATATTTACTTTTCTATTAATTTCTTTCTTTCACTCAATCCTCTATATTCTGTGGCCATGTGTATGTATATGCTTATAAGGCCATTAACCTTTGTTAATTTAATGATTAAGCTATTATAATTGTAAAACATACAAGTGGTGAGATTGTGGATATTATTTGCTATATAGGAGACTATAATTCACAAATCCTGGTTTGTGAATTGCCTGTTCCAGGCCAGTCTGGCTTGTTGGTTGTACTTTGAGAAAGCAGTGAACACTGAACAGACTGGAATTGAGAGACCCTCCATATGAGGCTGAAATTGGCACTGAAATTGGGAGGCTATAGAGGGCTATCGATAAAGCTATAGCTTCATAAATATAATAAAACCCTGATAATTTCAAACAATAATAATAATAATAATCCTTGCATTTGATATAGTGCTTTTCACGTCGGGAGGACGTCCCAAAGCGCTTCACAGAACACACTGTAAAGTGAATTGATTGTATATTTGTGGGCGAACGCGGCAGCCAATTGCGCACAGCAATGTCCCACAAACAGTCGTAGATTGAAAATGACCAATTTATTATTGTTTTTGGTTTTGGAGGGATTATTATTAGGCTGTGTGTGGAGTAAGGAAACTTGCCCAAGGTTTCGCCCTGACATGCCTGGAATTGAACTCAGGTCTCTCGCTTGCAAAGCGAGTGCTCTAACCACTGAGCTACAGGACTCCAATACAAATTTATATTATATAATTCACTTTCCACGCTTCATCCACGCTTTCATTACGTCCCTTTCATCCCCGATCCAGGCTTTCATTACATCCCGGCTTGACTACGCCAACTTTCTGCTCACTGGACTTCCCAACTCTTCCCTCCACAAGCTGCAAATTATTCAGAACTCTGCAGCTCGTGTTCTTTCCCGGACGAGGCTCTGGGAACCTATCACCCCCATTATTGCCAGCTTCACTGTCTCCCCATTCCTCAGAGAATTGAATACAAAACCCTCGTTCTTACCTTCAAGGACCTCCATGGTCTTGCTCCCCCTACCTCTCCAACCTCATAACCCCATATCAGCCTGTCAGCTCCCTCTGCTCGGTGGACTCTGGCCTACTTCAGGTCCTCTGCACTTCACGCCCCACCATAGCCGGTCGGGCATTCAGCATCTCTGCCGCACACTCTGGAACTCTATCCTGCAATCCCTCCATCTAACCCCCTCCCTTGCCTCCTTCAAGTCCCATCTGAAGAACTTTCTCTTCGATTGTGCCTTCAGCCTTTGTCAAATGACATTTTGAAATAGACTTTTTTTAAAACAAATTGAGTTAAATTTTCTTTGCAGTTACATTGCAATACAATTTCTATAGCACCTTTCACGCCAGGTGTACGTCTCAAAGCAGTTAATTGTGAAGGAATTTCATTTATACCTTGGGTTCTTTAAGATAGCAGTGCATGGCTTGCGTTACATCAGCAGCGTGAACAGCATTGTGATATGGGTTTTGGCTGTGATAATCCTCTTGAATCATAACTGCAGAAAAAATACAAATTAGTTTCAGTTACTATCACAAAACCTGAAGTGTGTTGGTTGTATACGTGGAAATGACACACACAATTTCTACAGATGGCTAGCAACCGCACAATAATGCAACTTGCTCTGCAGATCATATAAAGCCACAAGAAAGGGTGACCTACATCAGATTTTACAGCACAGTTTAATTAATGCCCCTTTAAAACAACATTTTAAATTATTAATTCTTTGCTGTTAACATACTAAATATTTAGAAAAATTAAATAGCTTGAGAGGATTTCCAAAGCCCTGTTCTCCTCAATTTTATTTTAAGAAATTCAAAACAATTGCATACACATGGGAGATGAAAATAGAGGAGTGTGGGTGAGGAGAATAGGGGGGGGGGGGCTCATGTGGGTATAAACACAGGCACGGACTAGTTGGGCTGAATGGCCTGTTTCTGTGGCAAATCATTCTATGCAACTCTATAAAACCCACTTCGATTAGAATTACAAGAAGCAGAACATGAATTAAGTTTGTCACAGCTGACTGGACTACTGAACAGGCAGCCAGCTCATTTAGATCAGACATTTTCATTTTTTAAGGTTCTCAGCGTACAAATTAGCTTTCTAAAAACATATTTTTCTATTGGATGAATCCGACTTACCTAAAAATCTGTGCAACTTTACCATATCCAGCTGAAAATGATGAATGAGACCATGGAGATTAAACAGGTGACATAATAGGGTGACAAGACTGTTACCTGAAAAAAAAGTTGAAAAAGAGGGATTGAGCCACTGATAGTACATCACCAGCAACTTACCAAACACTAAATGACATAACCATCCCCTGACACATTATATTGGTGTACATGATGCCAAGATCACGATATTAGTTTGTGTCTTCAATTCTGTTGTTGTGAAAAGAACAACAGCAAGAACAATTTGCACTTATATAGCATCTTTCACCTAGCATAGGAGAATATCTTAAAGCACTTCTCACAGTCTGAGCTGGGTGGGAGACGAGGGTAAGTGGCCAAAGAGACAGCTTTTCAGATGGGTTTTACAAAGCAGAGAGGGAGCGGTGAGAAGAGGGATTTCAGGAGAGAAAGTGAGCAAAGTGGCTGAAAGCTTGCCTGCCGTAGATGAATGATTACAACTTGAATGAAAATAAATGTTCTTCATTCAGCTTTCACCACTTACTGAGCTGACTCCTACAGTTTGCCAATGGGGAGAATCACAAATCATTGTTGATTTTCAGATGTTTCCTAAGAGGTTGATGACTGACAAAGGGAGTTATTTCAAGCATCTTTTCCAATTTTCCATTATCATGCTCATATAGTTTTTTGTTTTGTTCTGTATCAATAATGCCTCTCCAAGGCATAGACTTTCCCTATTGATGCTGCAGGAGTTTCCATCTGCTAGTGGCCGTGTAAAAACTTTCACATTTCTGATATTCTCTGTGTTATTCTAAGATGATAACCCATTCTAGTTGAGTTTTGAAGTGTTATTTTGGCGGGTTTAGCAGTTCTTCCTTGCACATTATCCATTATCCTTGCACACTGTCAAGCTGCCTTTGGTTTCAAAAAGGTAAAAAAAAACACAAGGCATTCCCACTGAAACTGCAGTGCTCTGAGATGCTATTCCTGAATGAAGTGTGTTATATAATGTAAGTTGTTGTTGTTGAAATGGGACACATATGTTCAGGGCAATTGGATTCAAGTCTGTGGTCTTTATTAAAATCCATCTGGTACATCAGCTAGCTGAAGCTGAAACCAGCAATGTTAACTTGACAAGATTTAACTGTATTGCTTTTGTTTGCTATTTCAATTAATTACTTGTGTGAGAACCAACTTGGGATCACTTTCAGCCCATCACCTCTCCAGAATGGACAATTCTGGGGTTGGTTTGGAGTTGTTTTATAATCTGTAGAATGGCCACTACATTCAGATACAACAATTTACTGTATCAAGTATTGTATATATGTTCTGTATTTTCTACTGTATACTCTACTGTATACTGTATTTTCCATATGAGTTTTATGAAACATTACTGAGTCCATATAATTTGTTTCACATTGCATGAGATGGCGTATCAACAGCTCACTCGTTTAGTAAAAATCTGACTTACCATTAGTCAGACGGTCAAACAGAAAAATGTCAAAGTTCCACGTTCCAACTTTTGACAGCATATGCTGAAACAATAAAAAACAATTTTTAAAATTTTTGCCTCTGACAAATAAAGCAAGTTTATGCTGTTTCACGACTGTTCACTGGGTTTTGTATTTCACAGAAATAACATGAAATTAAGAACACACAGCATTAACAGCGAGAACACCGTTGATACCATACGTACTAGGATTAGCCTCATGTGGAAACACTCTGTAATTCAAGTGTCGATTTGGTTTCCATTTAAAATTAAAATTAGTATCTATTGTTTATGAAGTACATTCCCTTCTCTTTTCAAACAGTGCCTTGAGATCTCTGACATTCACCTGAACAAGCAGACAGACTTTGGTTTGACGTCTTGTCTAAAGAATGTCACCTCCGACACTGAACTGCAGCATCAATATGATTTCTAAGTCCCAATGGGGTAGGGGTTTGAACCCACAACCTTCTGACTCAGAGCTGAGAGTGCTAGCTCAGGGTAGGAAGGCTCGAGGAGTGAAATCTGTGCCTTGTTAAAGAGGTGAGGACAATGCCATCTCTCTCTCTTGGGTGCTGGGACTGGGACCAGGCTGAGAAGGGTGGAGACGCTGACCCAGGGTCAGGGAGCATGAGGCCTTGGCCACATGGCTGGCTGCAGCTTGGTTAATGGTTAGAGCAGGGTGGGGGGATTGTGAGTGCGCGGATCTGTAAGAAGGGTGGCAGGCACTGACCAGGAGCCCCAGTTCTTGCACCCGCTCCCCGATTGGTGTTCTGGGCTCCCCCTCCCCTCGTAATTAAAAACGTATTATAGTGGGAATGCCCCTGTAACTGCCTGGTCTGGAGCAAGGTCTGAGCTACAATATTTTACAAACACTCAAAACCATCACTGAACAACTAAGCCACGGGGTGCACGAGGTTTTGTCCAATAATGAACGTTTACCCTCCTGCAGTCCTGGTCCAAGAGGAACCAGATGTCAGTCAGTAGCATTCTCGCCTCTGGATCAGAAGGTTGTTGGTTCAAAGCCCACATTGGACTTTGAGCTTGTCTTGACTTTGTCATGGCTAACCTTGGATTAAATGTTAAACAGAGACCCCATTTGCCTGTTCAAATGGACGTACAGTGTACCACAGCACTATTCAAAAGAATATAATTTCTTCAAGTGTCTTAGCCAACCGCCTTTCCCTCACTCACAAATAAATTGGTCATGGCTGTTTGTGGAATATTGCTGTATGCAAATTGCCTACTGTATTTTCCCACAAAATACACAGTCATAAAAGCATAGACATGTACAGAGCAGAAGGTAGTCATTTGGCCTATTGAGTGCGCCCTGGCTCTCAGAGCAAGCTGTACTTTCAATCCCATTGTTTTGCCCTATCCCCACATCCCTTCAAACTCATTCATTAACCTATCTATTTCCCTCTTGAAGTCTACAGTGCACTCTGTCACTATCACCTTAGTTGGCAGGGCTTTCTGGATCCCAACCATTCTTTGAGTGAAAGCAAATTCTGCTAAGTTCTTCTTTTACTCTTTTTATATCTATATTTCTTATTCACTGACTTTTCTACCAGTAGAAATTGTACATTTACCAGAGACTTAGTTAAGGACTTTGAGGCATTTGATGTTGTAGGCATTATATCAATTTCCAGCATTATTATTAACATATTGTCATATCAAGTGAAACTTGCCCAACAATTCGCCCTGCCGAGAATCGAACCCAGGTCCTCTTGCTTGCGAGGTGAGTGCTCTAACCACTGAGCTACAGGACTCCAATTTTTACTCGAATCATATAAAAAGTACTCTCTGCCAAGTCATGATTAGTGTGAACAGCAGGGAAACCAGAATAGGCCCTGCAAAAGTCCACTAATCATCGCTCAGACACCAGACTTTGCTAAATGTTACAGATGGCAGACATACAATTGTAGAGCTGAACATGCTGAATAAAACCAATACTCAACTTCCATAGCTGGTTTGAAATGGAGCTTGAAAAGTTTAGTTAAGTGGCTTTCACCCACAATTTTGTTTTTGAAAATGCTTCATTTACTTTAAATAATCCATTGCGACCTTGTTGGTACTGTTAAACATTTTTAGTTGTTTTAACAAAAAATTTTAGAGGAATACGAATGGCATTTCAACATTTGCTTATATATTCTGCAGGAAGTTTCAAATAAATTAAGGAGTCAGTGAATTACGAAATATTTTTGGCAGACTTGGAGCGTTTTCCTAAATTATTTTTAAATGAAAATTGAGCTAAGGAACGATCACGACTGTGATCAACAACAAGCAGTGCTGAGTCTCAAACTGAACTACGCCTTGAACTGGAAATAAACTAAATGAGCTGTAACAAAAAGATGCCAAACTAATGTCACAATAATGGAATCAGCGACTTGTGCCACACAAATTCCAAAGCACTGAAATCGGTTGCAAGTGAAAAAGACTGTTGTGAGACAGAACAGTTTTGAGTTTCTCTTTCACTTAACTTTACAATGTTAGAAACAACTGCCTGCCATTTAGATCATGTAGCAAGCACACTGTTTCATAAGGACATTCAGAAAATATTAACTTGTAGGAGTCTTAAAAAATTATGCTGTCAGAAATGCATCGAACTTCAGCCAGATATAGCTGGCATACAATTGTAGAGCTGAAGGTACTTTCAGGTAGAGCAAATTATTTTGCATGGTTTATAAAGTTAGATTTTCAGCCTCAATCAGCAAATGTGGTGGTATTTTAAGGAAAACAAATTAAAAAATGAAAGGCATCGACACCTATATGTACCAACGAAATGACAGATTCTCTACTTCTAAATGTACTCAATGTACTTTAAAGTCAAGCAAAGTAAAATAAATGAGCCAGCAGGCAGAAATATGTCATCGACTCTACAGGAGTCATTGTGCAGAGGAAGGGGAGGAGGAGGGAGCTTTTAGGACTACACTTTGATTAAAAAGATAAGCCAAAAGGAGTGATTAACTAGACTTTATAATGGCAAGCAGCAGGTCTTATCTCCACATCAAAAGTCAAATCTTTGAACCCAGTTGCAGCACTGACTGTAGAGTTAGTTCTGTTGCATGTAACTACATAGGCACACATGTGTTCACATACATATGCACATGTGAACCACATTTCAATATCTTTCTTTTCTTCCGGTCCTAACACAACAGTAAAAACAACAACTTGCATTTGTATAGTGCCCTTCTCTTAGGGTAATGTCTCATAGCCCTTTACAAGGACGGGGCCAGGCGGCAAGCAGTGGAGAGGGGGAAGGGGGAGGTGACGATAGGCACAGTCAAATAGGCATATTTTGTTAATAATAATAATCGTTGTATTTTTTATAGAGGGCCTTATTACGTCATCGACACATCTCAAAGTGCTTTTGAAGCTAAAGTGGTTTGACTGTGTATTTTGTTGGCGAAACAGGTCAATCAGTTTGCGCACAGCAATGTACCACAAACAGCCATGGAGTGAGTAACCAATTTTATTTTGGGGATTGTTGGCAAGGACACCAGAAGAAACTCTCTTCTCTTTTCGAATACTACCATGGGATCTTTAGCTTCCACCTGAACAAACAAACGGGACCTTAGTTTAATGTTTCATCCAAAGGATGGCACCTCTGATAATGCAACATACCCCAGCACTGCATTGGAGTGTCAGCTTAGCTTATGTGAGTCACACATTCCGATGTGGGAATTTAACCCACACAGCCTTCTGACTCAGAGCCGAGAGTGTACAAAAACTGAGCCAGCCCGACATACACAAATAGTCCCAACTGAATTTTTGTGTGTTGACATTATACAACAACAAATTACATTTGTATAGTGCCTTTCATATTGAGAGAGCATTCTAAGTTGCTGGACAGTCAAGGATTTGCGCCCAAGCTGGGGGTTGGGATCAGGAGGGTTTGGAGGACAGGATGGGTTGGAGGACAGAAAGGGTGGGAGAGTGGGAGTAGGAGGGTGACTGAACGCAGGGTCGAAGAGGAGGGTCTTGAGATGGGTCTTGAAGGAGGCAAGGAAGGGTGCGAGGCACAAGGGATGGAGTTCCAAACTGTGGGATGGAGTTCCAAAGAGTGGGAGCAGAAAGCGTGAATGACCAATTGTATTTGGTGGGGAGAGCAGGATGGGGGATGTGGATCATGCCAGAGTCCACTGAGCGGAGGGAACATTGGTATGGGATAGCAGGTCATAGAGGTAAGGAGGAGCAAGACGTGGAGGGATTTGAAAGTGAGGATGAGGATTTTAAACTCTATCCTCTGGAGGAAGGGGAGCAGATGGAGACGGGCAAATATGGGGGCAATAGGTTCACGGAGCAACCCACAAGATCCTCATCTTATTTTTATATCAATCCTGACAGTACAGGGTGCAGAAGTCTTTAACATTAGAGCAGTGACTTCAAATTATAGAATTAGAAATCAAGTTCATTCAGATTATGCATACCCTGGCTTGTCCAAGGTAGTCCTCGTCCAGTAGGTGCAGAGATGCCTGTGGAACAATACCACGTAGCAGCCGAGAAGCATGGAAATACCTCTGAAAGCTCAATAGTCGCTTCACCTTTTTCTTTGTTCCAATTTCACCTGATGGTGCAGTTGCTGAAAATGAACAAAATGAAACAACTTAAATATGTTTGGGGCGGAGGAGTTTAATAAAAACATCATAGCAAAAAAAAAGAAACCAGGTACAATGTTTTGCTTGTGTAATCACAATTGTTGATGTTATGAGGCTGAATAGCACAATCCTGTTGCCAGTAACGTGCCTTTGAATTGAAGGTCACTGACAGGTAGAAACCGGTGATTTATATGGGTCATAAGGACTGCCTGCACATGATCAATAAAAAGTCCAGAAATGGTGACATGTCTTATTCAGCCCCATCCACTCCCACAAAGAACACTCTTAAAGAAAACATCTTGCTATAATTCTATAATTGTCCAGTTTATTTGCTGGAATATTCATTCAGTTTTAACTGACTTTGGTGTACAATTTTGGCTAATGTTATTTATAAAAACCTTCTTTATGCGCAAATATTAAGGGCTCAATTTATTTAAAGCTGCACCTCCCATTTTCACTCAACCTGTTGTGTGGAGGGCACTATATACAATACAATTTACAGTGTAAATTTACATTTACATAGCAACTTTCATACCAGGACATCCCAATTATAAATGTAAGTTGAGGTTTTCATTTGAGTGTTACAAGCTGTCGTAAAAATAACAGCATGCAGTCAAATTACAGCTTCCCTCCCTACAATTTCCACCCCACCTTCTTTACCACAAATACTTTGAGCCCCCAAATCTGCTAAAATGGTTTCAGTTGTCAGTGCCCAAGCTTGCTTGGCACAGTATTCTCTTACAGCTGATGAGGGAGAGGAGACTTCCATTCTACTAGTTCTGGCTGGTTTTAACCCCAGGAACCAAAGAAAGAACCAAACTCCTTATACTGTGACAGAGAATGTGGCAAAAAGCAGATCAAACAACTTCTCCCCTCAAAGAGGAGGTTTGGCAATATCTGATAAGTTTACTAGTCAGTCTAGACTGAGACTCCTTTGCAGTGCTGAGGGTGTGTTGGATTATCGGAGGTGCAGTCCTTTGGAGGAGAAGTTAATCCGAGGTTCCATCTGCCTGCTTAGGTGGACATTAAAGATCCCATGACACTATTCGAAAAGAGAAGGCAGTTTCTCCTGGTGTCCTGGCTAAAAATCCTCCAAATAAAATTGGTCAGTCACTCCATGGCTGATTGTGAAACATTGCTGTATGCAACTGGCTACCACATTTCGCTCACAAAATGCACAGTCAATCCACTCTGCAGAAACCATTCAGCTCTTTGTATCTGTGCAACTTGCTACGTCTGTGCGTGGAGGGGTGGGGGTGGAGTAAGCAGAGTCTCCTAGTAGCTAAACTGGCTCCAAGATGACATGGTTGGCAACACAATGTCAGAATTTGGTCAATCCTCTGTGGCGGATCCGGTAGTTTAATGTCCTTAAGCATGATGATAGGTTTCCATGTGTACCAGACACCCGGCTGACCAAATAACAATGTGCAGGTAAGAATCAGAAATAATTCTCGCGGCACTGGGAAATTCCTAATTTGGCAACTGTCTGACTGACTTCCAGTTTCTCTGATATTAATTCATAGACACTGAAAAGGTCAGAACAAACCTGTAGTTTGCATATGATATTCTTACAGGGCTGTGTGATCTCAATGCAGTACGCCCACATCATGGGGACAATTAGCTATTGTTATAAATCAACTTGTTTTCCCAAACCACAAGGACTACAATTATGATTGACGTGGCTATCTATTTTTATTTACGACCTTTCTAAATGAACCACTTTTTTTTCACATTCATTCAAGAAGACCAACATAGTTAAACTGGAAAACACCTCCTTGTGTATGAATAGCTATAATTTTATTTTACATTGAAGGCTAAAAAGGGAATCTTTAGCAGTAACTGGTTAAATTATATAAATAGAAGACAATTCTGCTGCTTACTCTTTAAACCCAATATCCACATTTTGAAGAGTTACAATGCAGCTCCATTATGATGGCCTTTGTTATAACATTGGTTCGTTCATAATCCAAATGGGCATGTGGATGCCCAATCATTGTGCATGCATTAGCTGATTCCTTGCTAGAAATGCCGACTTATTCAGTCACTATCACTGTTACTTCATGTCCAATGCACAAATGCAACACACAGGAAGTGATGTTGTTTGGTACAGACGTGATGACTCAGAAATTGGCCAATCTCGACTTCCTATGTGCCAAAAATTGCCAATGTTCAAGTCTTTAGGTCACTGCCTACATCACTTGATGTGTTGTGCATATACAGCACACAAGAAGTAACTTTATCGAGAACCTGATGACGTGGAATTTGCCTTTTTGTTTAGCACGGGAGACAGCCAGTATGCAGGCCAAAAATGAGTCGGCTATGCGTATGCACCTCATTATAAAACAGTTTGGGATTTTATGACCCTGAACTATTGCCTTATAACAAAGGTCCATTGTATCTGGACCCATACTTTTAAATTCTCTGCCTCTCATGTGTACAAATCTGCTACTCAAGGTACAGAAGGCAAAGAGGTGTCAATACTGCTATGTCAATACTGCTCTGCATCTTCTGGTCAATTGAAGGGACTCCCTTAAATGAACATCACTACAGATAGATTACCTGTATGGCAAGCTACCAGAGGCTAAACTGGATATTACTGGGTTTCTCAGCCAACTTTCACTGACCCCTAACAAAGTCTTTCAAACATAAATTCCATTGATTGCAAAGATTGAAATCTATTTTTCAGATCTGACGGAGCTTCTCAAAGGTGAATTAAATGCAATTCATATTAATAATAACAAATAATAATATATCTTGCGTTTGACATAGCGTCTTTCTCATCCAGAGAACATCTGAAACCAATTTTATCTGGAGATTTTTGGCCACATTACTGAGAGAAAAAACCTTTCACTTTTTGAATAGTGCCATGGAATCTTTAACATCTACCGCGACAGGCAAATGGGACTTCAATTTAACATTTAATACACTTAGACTGGGAATTTTTCACCTACACTGAAATGAAGACCTGAGGCTTAAAATTTCACCTAGTCTTAGACTAAGACAATTTAATCTTTAAATGTAGGATCGTGCAAAACTGTGGTGAGTTTTTTCAGTCTTAATTTGGAAGTTGATTTCTTTTTAAGAAATGTTGAAGACTGACTTCCAAATTATAATCTTAAATTTTACAGGCTACTATTAGGTGGAATTTCAGGTCTCCAAACTAAAGCTAAACTAGCTTATTTATTGAAACTAGACATTTTTATTCCTCCCATTCTTTGTGATGCCATTTTATTCTCTGAAAAGACATTCTTATCAAGTTACATTCGAAAGACACATAATTAAACAGACGCAATGAGTAATGCAGGATTTACAGGAACTGGTGACACATTTATGGATTGTGTATATACTTGTTATTTTCTGTTAGGTGGTTTTAGCACAAACTAATTAAAGCATAATTTTACATTTTAACTGAAAGTTGAAAGATGGAGGATCCTTGAAGCTGAGTTGTTAACCTCCGTTTTAAATGTTAATGCATTTTTACATTTCAGTCATACCTCTTGTAAAATGCAGTGAGTTTGCATTTTTCAAATATATGCTGCTTCCTTGAATTTTAAAACGACAGCTCAGAATAATCAAGAACATTTTTTTCATTCTGTATTATAAGTGGACCAAACCTCAGATTGGCATAGTTAGATCATCACCAGTGCCAATGGGCAGCAGATGTACTACCAATTTTGCAATACAAACTTTCTGGGTACCTTTAAAGGCTTAGTCCTTATAAAGTTGTATAATGTTGTCTTTTGCATTTCTGACACATTTATTTATTAAATCTCTCACATTGCCGGTATTTTCAGTTACAATCACAAAGTTCAGCAGAACTGAATCTACTCAACTTGTTTTGTTATACAGCACTACAAAACTTAAAACAACAACAAAATTACATTTGTATAGCGCCTTTCATGTCGGGAGGACATCCCAAAGCGCTGGACAATCACTCACTGCTACTTGTCATTCAGCTACAACAGTGGAATCAAATTTTTGATTCCATCAATTTATACCTCATAAGCTCATCACCACAGAGAATGTGCATTACTGCACTGTATAAATTACGCAGTGTGTGTCACACTGCATTGGGGGAGGCATAACTAGTCCTTTCTAAGTGGGTGGAGGGAAAACAACAACAACAAGATTACATTTGTATAGCACCTTTCACATTGGGAGGACGTCCCAAGGTGCTGGACAGAGTACAGCATTTCAGACCCGAGCTGGAGTTGGGAGGGTAAGGGAGGGGAGGGGAAAGGGGGTGACCGATGGCATGGTTGAAGAAGAGGGTGTTGAGGCGGGACTTGAAGAAGGATAAGGAGAGGGCGAGGCGGGGTGACTGGGGAATGGAATTCCAGAGGTTGGGGGCAGAGTGGCTGAAGGCTCTCCCGCCAATGGTGGGGCGGGTGGGTCAGGGGACGTGGAGCAGGCCAGAGCTGGCTGAGCGGAGGGAACGGGCGGGTTGGTAGGGGGTTAGGAGGTCACAGAGGTAGGGTGGGGAGAGGTCATGGTGAGGACCAGGATCTTGAACTGGATCCTCTGAAGGATAGGGAGCCAATGGAGTCGGGCGAGAGTGGGGGAGATGGGGTCACGGAGTTTGGTGCGGGAGAGGACACCGGCTGCAGAGTTCTGGATTATCTGCAGCCTGTGGAGGGAGGAGTTGGGAAGGCTGACAAGCAGGACGTTTGCATAGTTGAGCCTGGAGGTGATGAAGGCATGAACAAGAATTTCGGCGGCCTAAGGGGTGAGGTAGTGGCGGAGTCGGGCGATGTTACTGAGGTGAGGGAAGGCAGAGCGGGTCATGGCTTGAATGTGGGGGAGAAAAGACAGTTGAGTGTCGAACAAGACACCTAGGTTCCAGACTGGCTTGGTGAGTTGTAGTGAGCAACTATGGAGGTTGATGTTGCCGGAGCCTGAGGCGCTGAGGCACGGCGTGAGCCAATCAGGAGGGCCTCAGTCTTGTTCACATCCAATTGCAGGAAATTTGCCCTCATCCAGGACT